AAACTCAACACCCTGATTTTGCAACATAACTAACCACAAGAAATTGTAGATCGGCAGATCGCCTCAGCTGAATTTTGTCCTTGCGGCGTGGAACGCGAACGGATGTTTACAAATTGTGAATGAACTATTGTCAAGAAGCAACCAATTGCGTGTCGTGTCTTGCTTGTTGTCAGCAGTCACGCAAGCCGACCACCAATCACGCGGCGTTCGCTGATCGATCGATCCACAAAGTCGACCGAATCAAGCAAAACAGAGGTAATGTTTATGACCAAAGAAACGAGAAGAGGAACAAAAGTAAAAAAAATCCCGAAATCGACTCTCAAGTCGCATTACAACACTTCAAGGGGGGTTTGTTTACGCGAGTCATTACGTGCATTGAAAACTCTACAACGTATTTTATTAATTTATTATACTCATTACTCGTACTTTTATTTTTTCCACTGGATAAAAATATCTTAGAAAGCAACAAAGCAAGTTCTCAATGATTTAAGAACCCTGTTTAAAATCTATATGGTATATTTATACCGCTTGTTGGGGGCGCGCGGCGCATGCAATGTTTACTTCTACTTGAAAAGACATGTGAGCTGATAAGTGCTTGGGTTTGATCCGAGGTTGATGTCTTTGACATGTTGCCCAACACACCGGAATGCGTAGCAATTATTAGACATCAATCAAGCAGATTCCCGGGAGAGTTTATTTCATCTGTTGACAAAAGAAAAATATCTCACTTACATCAGAGAAGTTGCGCTCTTCACGATCTTCGGAGTCATGCCGGCATGTCGGCAAACTCATCGGAATGAATAAGTAATGAGAAAGAACAATAGCCTGAATATATGAATACTTAACAACCTCAATTTTTGAGGTTCACGTTTAATCCGCTATGGAGTTGTCATGAATTCTGCATCGCTCTCTGTTAGGTGGCGTTTCCCTGATGTTGTTGCACTGTAAACAATGGCCGAGCCTGTCTTTCGATTGATGTGAAAAGAGGTGTTTCGTCTGCGTTTTCCTGACCGCTGTTATGTGCCTCAATGAGATCCTTAACTTCTTGCGGCAAAGAGATGCACCTCGCGGGGGAATCTTCGCCTTCTCCTCGCGCGAGAACGATCGCATCAATATTCATTAATTATAATGTCCAACTGGGTCTTTCCCAGGTTGCACTCCATTCTGTTACTCCCATTTTTGTTACGTTGTGTTTATAACGTCTCAGATTTCGTTCTGCTTATGTAATTTCAATTCTGTATTGCTAAATTCTATTGCGTTTGTTAAATTTCTGTTCGAGTGTTTTCAGAAAAGAATTTATAAAGTACAAAGGTTCTACATAACAGAATTTGAAACAGGATTTTAGCAGCGATGACCCCTCATATGATTACAGACCGAATTGGACTGTACTCGCTCCCACTACCAATATTAATGGATGGCGAAATTCTAATAAAAACAATTTTTGGGGAGGGTCCCGGTATTTTCTCACAACCACAGGAATTTTGAAATTTGAGATAAGGCCTTGCTGCTGAATCAAAACAATATCAAATGAAATGGACGCAAAACTCCTGCAATTGAAAGGGGATAATTTTAACACGAAATACATGCAATTTAGAATATAGGTCACCGTGCTCATTCAAGAGCGAAGACTATCGTACCTGTTTTCCTCGTCCATTCATTTAGAACAATTATCATGTAAAGCGCTTTATCCACATAAACAAGTGACGATATTTTTTTCTTTTCTTTGCCGCCATCACTTAACTGAATTCTCACGCATTTATAATTAGTACTGCTTTCGAATTTCGAGAAAGCTTCGCTCATTTTCACCACCACTGCCCGTACGTGTCCATCTTTCACACCGACGAGATCGACTTCCCACTTAACTTCGTTAATGCACCTTAATTTCGGCTCCAGATGAACGGAAATGGCTTTAGTAAGTTTACATCAGCCCGGCTGTTCTTCACATTTGGGTCAGCCAACCAAAACAGTCGTGGGATGGTTTTAATGTATCTGTCGAACTTCGTAAAATAAACGCATTCAGTTATGTTTAAATAGTCGCCGGTTAAACTCTACTTTACCGTTTTTGTTGTTTTTTTTTTGCGATGCTAATTCTTCACTAGGCCCTCGAGACCTTCTGCGTTCGCGTTCTCAGAAAGAACAGGAATATTCATATTGAGTCCCGAACGCTTTTTCCTTCTAATATCTCCATTAACAAACCGCTGAATAAAGTAATCAGATAATACTATTTAACTACTACCAGAAACTTAGATGTTTGAATGATTTATCGTATGTTTGTTTCTTTGTTTGTTTATTCGCAATTTGCGATTCTCGGAAATGGCGAAATTGAGTAGGGTACACGTATCATTTAAACTTTTTTAAAGCAATTTGATTTGCTGAGGCTTATCAAGAATCGATTCAAGTTTTTTTTTTTTTTTCAATTTTTGCTGGTACCGTTTTCAAAACAAATAAAGGAACTGTGTTCCAGAGTGAGCAAACATCGCAAGAAAAATTGCTATGGTTACTGTAAGTGACACAAGCATGGTGTAGGTTAGCAATGTAAGATTTTACTTACGAAAACATGACGAATTTCATATTTAAAAAATGATTTTTAAATTAATCTGGACCCTCAAAATTTCCTTGAATGTGATTGCTGGATTAACTATCGTATTTTTCACCAATTTTTTGGCAATGACTTCGATTTTATTTTCAGGCAAGTGACCAAATTGGACAAGAAATTACACTAAATACCTAACCTTTACAGAGTAACACTGATGGCAGACATTCTTATCCCCATGTATTTCTCAGTGAAAGGTGTTATGGATGTGAAAAGTATACTGCGAGAAAAAAAAATTAAATTGCAAAATTAGAAATACATTCTGCATCCTCTTTTACAACAGAAAATCTCTTCTTGTATATAAATTGTCCCACTGAAGATCCTGAAAGTCGTCATGACGGGCGCTCTCTCTAGTTCACTTTGACTTCTCTAAAACTCACGAAAATTAAGAGATCCGATCAATCGAATTGTGATTTTGGAATAAGTATCAGAATGTCTCACAGCGATAAACAATCAACTTCTTCCTATTCAGAATTCAAATACGTCCAAACGCCTAAAATAAAAGAGAAGAAATCCTTAGCAATAGTTACGGTCGTAAGCGATTAAACTGAACGTGATTCTAAAAAATGTTGGTTTCCCATTAATTAACCTTATTGTATCCTTAACGAAATTTGAACGATAAGTTGCCTGAACTTGACATCGGTAATCTAGTACATTCAAAACATTGAACAGGTAACAGGACAAACACGCGTGTCTACATCTACAAAGGCCATCCGAGTATTCTGCAGTAGTTGAGCCAGCTTATTCTGAATAATTATAACGTCAACATCTTCAGGCCTAAGGCTTCGAGCATAAATCGCCAAAGCACGATCATAGTTTCTTTTCGCCTCCCCATCATGACCCTGTTCATTGTGTGCGTCACCAATATTTTCATAAATTTTTCCAACTTTAAGATGATCAGGTCCGAGCTGTTTCAGATAAATGTCCAGTGCACGTGCATAGTAGTCCTTTGCTTGCGGGAAATTACCTAGATTTCTGTATACAATGCCCAGGTTATTGTAAGAAGTTGCGACATGTACTTGCTCAGGTCCGAGCTGTTTCAGACCAATGTCCAGTGCACGTGCATGGCTGTCCTTTGCTTGCTGGAAATCACCTAGA